ATCCGCATAAGTCACGTCTTGATAAACATATATATCACTTAAGTGTATGTACATGCTATATATAAAATACATGTATGATATTTAATTATTATATACTTTGCTACATATCTATAATAATACGGATAGTACACTTTAAAAACGACAGAGGGGCGGCAGTAAGCGCGTGGAGACAGAGACAGAAAGTCGAGCCGAGTCGAGTTTAACCAGAGATCATGCCATTGCACGGGTTTCTTCATCGCGTCGGTTGAGCTCCCAAGCGCGCTAATAGATGTTTCTCATCAAAACACGCATACACTGAATCAAGCGACGCAGTCTACCTTGCCAACAAATATATTAAAATTAACAAAGTTGCCAAAAAACAGCTTTAAGAAAATGTAATAAAATTTTTATTTTCTACCCTCAACTTAAAAAAAAATTTTGTTCAAAATAATTATTACTTTTCTAGGTATTGTATTCATTAATTGAAAAAAGCTATCATGCTCAATTGAAATTTCACCTTTGCCGTTGCCAAAAAATGGTTTGTCTTAGAATTTTGTACGCCAAAACCTTAATTTTATAAATATCTATTATTGTCGTATCGATTATTCTTAATTTTAATCTTAAAAAACTTTGCAAATTGATTTAGTTCCATTTAAAAAGGATAGTGTTCATAGACAAAATGCAATGTTAACTAAGTTCTAATTACGAAGAATATGAAACGAATTCAAAATGTGATAATTCGAAAAAAATGGCATATTTTCGATACTTTCAATCTAAATTCATTCTTTTTTTTTCGTTTTTTGTCACTTATAATGGTGTTACATCGTTGTTTAAGTCTAAAAAACATTTATTATCATAACATGTATATGTTCCAATGCATGAATATCTTACATTGTCTGGCAATACCATTTTGATCATTCCCTCTCTGCTCGAAATCTGAAAAAGGAGAGAATATCTCATGGTGTTATGATTTATAATGTAAATATTGTAGTAATGGATGTGATGTAGCGTAAAAGAAGTTAATGCATTAATTTTTGTAATTTTTTATTTTTGAGGGAAATAGAAAAAACGGTTTAACATACATTTCATTGTTAGCATCGCAATCTTAAATTAAACAGATATTGAATCGATGTCTAGATTTGTGTCACTATAAAAATTATCATAATCACACATAAGATCGGTGGTTGTTATCAACAACTCCATATTTTCACAAATTCCACCGCGACAATTATCTCACAGCTGTGAACATGTTAAGCCGTGTTTGCGGCACTGACAACGATCTCCACAGTATCCAAATAAAAAAAACGACGGATAAATAAAGGCCTATGAATCGGGTTGAAACCAGAGGCAGAAACAACATTAGAAAAAAAAGTACTGAAAGAAGTAAAAAATGCACATTAATACAAAAATAGTTGAAGCAACCAAAAAATAATATCGAAAAAAACAAAAGATAAAGAAGGGAAGATATATACACATTTCTATGACCACAAATGCATGTACAAGCCTCCCAACGTCAGTGGAGAAAACGTGAACTATCAAATACACAAACACAGTCCTACATAACATTTGTTTATAAACAAAATTGTTAGTTTAGAGCTTAATAATTATAAAGACGAAAAAAAATATAGAGTAAAGTATAGAGACAGAGAGGAAAATGTAATGCAAACGTTATGGACAGGCAAACCTTTAAACAGCTACAAATCTGTAATTGAAAAATTTAAAGACGTATATAGAAATATAAATGCAAAGATGTGCTATACATAAAAATGATTTAAAAAGAAAAAGATTGGTCCCAATATATTCAGCGTACAACACTGGGATATATACTGAAAGAAAAATAATTATAGATGAAGATTACAAGACTGTAATATTAACAAAAAATATGAAATATAAAGAATTGTAAGTCATAATAAGATGACTAACATTAAATTTTACAATGGTAAATAGTCAGAAAGTTAAGTAAAAAAAACTGAAAATACTAAAAAAGTGATCCAAATTAATGTGTAACAAAACTATGTCAAAATTTAGGATGATAGTACACACAAAAAAATTTGATTACTTATGACACAATTGATAAATCTAAAGGAGTTAACATAAAAAAATATGTATAGATAAGTTGAAACATGAATAAGCTTATGAAAATATTACAAATCAGACCAAGTAAAGTATAAATTTTGACCTTTTTGATTTCTTTTTGCATAAGTCGACGAATAGTAGAGGTAAAAGTTAAATGACTTTTTCATGAATTTTGGCTGGTAGTTCATTGTCACACTGTTGATTTTTTCAGTTTTTAGAATAGCATAATGCCGATGAGAAGTCAATTGTAATTCATTCAAAATACATCAGTCTAACGAATCGTGAGATGGTACTTAACTAATAAGTGGAGTAATAAGTTGAAAGGAAGTATGAAGATAATTGTGAGGCTATTTGTGATCGGCTGGTTGCCATTTGAGGCTCCGAGAAAGTTGTGTTGGATATCTTTGTACATTATAGTTATTTGAGTAGGACTGGCGATAAGCAGCCTCTTATAAAATAAGGTGAAATTTGTTTTATTCCTCCGAAATTTTAAACCAATAAAATTTTGGTCAAGCCTCACCACAGCTCATCGAACACGCCCAGAGCCTCTTAACATTTATGTTTTTGAAATAGTAAATTAGTCGCTGTGTAATAAATATGTAATTTTCATTTTTAGTTTACCTGTATGTAATATCCACTCAATATAAAATCTCTCTGTAATTACTTTCCGCAGATCACCACACTTTTATAATCTCCATGACACTTGAACTGATTGCGATACTCCTTACTAAATTACCAGAAGGGGGACTACGCATTACGATTTGTACAAAATTTAAAGAAGATTAAATCTTATTGAGAGACCCAATGTCTTAGAAGTAATTTTACTATGGTTGGGATGTGATATAATCTGTGGTCTGCTGTGCTGTGTTATATTATGATGTCAAAATAGTGCGGTGTGTTGTTATTAGTAAAGTATTATAATGATATTAAAGCATATCTGAATACCATAGCACAGCACAGCACAGCATACCACAGCTATAGTATAATAAGTACTAAAGATGGGTTTATTATCCACCTAAGCCGTTAGCTAATCAGAAGGCTTAGAAGAAGCTACCTTCCACATTGGATTTTATACCAGTAGAATCCAAGAGCGTGGTATTCAACTGCAGCCTGTAGCAACAATCGATACAAATAATAGTGTTTACTTAATTGAATTATGCAACACTAGTAAGAATTAGGCAATTATTTTCTGAATTAGTTATTTAGGTCGTATAAACTCATCAACTGAAAATTACGTGTCTGATAAACTTTGACTTCATATAAATGTAATAGTCGACTCTGAACTCATAACTATTCAATTAATTGTTTTTGTAGGTGTCACGGTAGTTAAGTGATTAAGGCTGCAGATTACGTAGTTCGGCGTGCGTGGTGACGCAGGTTCATCGGGTTTGAGTCTCGATCCTTACTCACTTTGCTTGCAAAACTCTAATGACTGGTAAATTAAAAAAAAAAACTATGTAGCAGCTACATAAAAACATGCTTAATATTTAAAAAATTAAGCCACTTTGGCTTTATACATTAAGAATTCTCTTAATTGTCACTTATTGATGTGCATCAGTCTTATAAATCTACCTATTAGTCTAGTAAACATTAAAAAAAAACTAGGTGTGGGTCTCAGGACCCCCGGCAGAAGTGAAACTTCCAACTCAAATATTATTAAACTTGGTATAACTGAAACTAAGAAAATTAGATCACACTTAATTTCAATAGGTCTTTAAGAATCCGATATTGAAATAATAAAAATTTTATTATTACGTATTCGAGCATGCGAGTGTATAAAACACATATACTTATGTTACATGTGATTCGCAAATTTTAAGTACTTACTTCCATGTTTGCTATGATCTTTGTATTAATATGTGTACGAATTGTTGGTCATGTAATGCAGAATGAAATAAAAAATTTTCCCCATAACGCCCCGAACAAAGATACTTTTGTCCAGTTACGCGGGAAAAAAGTTCCTATAATTAAAAATTACTATTCGTGTATTTGATATGACATCATATATGTACAATCGATTCTTGTTTAAATCATTGTATCTGAAAAATAAAATTTTTTTTTTTAATTTTGGCTACCATAAAAGTAAAATAATCCACTCTATCTGATTAAGAAAAACAATAAACATACAGCTTTTTTCTTGTTTTCGAAAGTAAGATTGTCGTATTATACATATTTAATACTTTATCCACGTTTTTTAACATACATGTATACTTATAAACATGTATGTAATGACCGGGACGTGCAACACGTATATATGTATACGAAATGCATACTTATACTTTGTCTCTAGTATAGGTACAGCTATTGTTTTTCTCTTCTTTTCTCTTTCTCCGTACCTATACCTCAGCTTGAGCAAATTTGGTTTAGTGTTAACTTAGAAACATATATACTAACATAGCTATAATATATATATATATACATTTATAGGTATAGTACCAGTGTGAGGGGAAGGGAGCAAGCGGCGTACATGTGAGAGAAAGAGAGATGGAACGGTAGACAGTAGGCGTGCTCTGCGAAAGAGAGAGTCGGAGCGAGAAGAAGAGTGTGTAAGAAAGGAGATTAAGGAGAGGGCTTGGGCCGCAGGGTGGGTGGCTACGTTTTTTCGTAACGCATTTCCCCTTACGGGACTGTTTATGGTAACTTATTTAAACAATCACAATGGTATTTATATGATTAAAAGCTTATTATTTACCTAGTTTATTATTTACTTAGTTTATTATTTAACTAGTTATTATTTATTGTAATCGTGTATACTGAAATAGTATTACAATACTCTTTAAAACATCTGTGTATTTTTAAAATATAATTACTCTTAAAATTCATACTTATAATTTTTAACATTTCTGTTCTTGCAACTACTTAAGGTTGTTTCAAAATGTATCAAAAAACTTCTTCTTAAATACTATAATAGTTTGTACCTGAAGCTTACTCTTTTATAATTTCAGGTCAACCGCAATTCTGATATTTATGTATCATTAGTCTCGCATACTCATCAAGTAGCTGCCAAGGGATGGTTTATAGCTATGGTTTCTACAACAGTTGAAACTTCAAATCCTGAAGTAGAAATAAAACCAGGTCTTGATTTACTTGGGCCTGTGCGACAAAAGTTTACATATATTTCAGACTATATGGAGCCGTTAAATGATGGACTTGAAAATCAACTATTTATATCAAAAAGCTACGATGCTACGACGCATTTTGAAACAACTTGTTTAGATGTCCTTGATATTTTTAAAAGAGCAACAGGAGAAGAATTTGATTTTAATAAAGTTAAGCAAGAACTAGGTGACGATGATCAATAAATGCATCGATTGTATAAAAATGAATAAAAACGCATGCACACACCTCTCCCCACACACATTAAAGCAGCAAATACGCATAGTCAAATGCATACACTTATGCAACTACATACATTGCTTAGTTAAATAGTTTTTTCAATACAAAGAGAATATATATATATTGAGTAATATTAAATGGAAAGAGTGTACTTTTTTTTTTAATTAAATTTTTTAGTTGCAAGAATTTTTCTTGTCATAATTTTCTACTAGTTCATTAAATTATGAAACTCTTGATATGAATTGCTTTCATTTATCTCCCTTATACGATCTTTTATAATATTACTTATTTTAGGACTATTTTAAAAGTTAAATAAATTAATACTAAATGAATTTTTGTTACATAAAAGTGGCGCATTCTAAAGTTTATTTACTAAAAGCTTAGTGGCTCAGGATTATAAAAGTACTAATTAGGTACAGAGAGTTGTACGCGTTTGGAAGTATTACATACTGAATGTATATAATATAAAAGTTGAACATTTTTTCAATTTTCATAAGCAGTCAGGTCCATATTGTAACAGCGTTTATAGTGGAAGTAGAGTCCTTATTGGATTTGATTTCTTTACTGTACCTAATTGAAGGTGGTTGTTCACCCTCAACTTACCGTTATTAATTGATTTTACATTGACGACGATTTCATATAATTATATGTAAATAAAATATGTTTAATCATAATGTAAGAAGCATTATTTATGAATAAAACCACAGCAGTCGCGTTAAACTATAAAATTTTCTAAATATTATTCATTTCGGCTAGTATATAGATATACTGATAACTTGAAAAAAAAACCAGGTGTGGATCTCGGGACCCACGACAGATGTGAAACAATAAAGAATATGTTATGGAATTTGATTGTCTATGATAATAGATTTAGTTTTCGTCAAGTAAGAGCTATTGTATTCAGGGCTATTTTGCGGCCCGAGGGAGCTGCGAAACAGGGCCCGAGAGACGTAAGGCAGCCACGGAGCAATGTCGCGTATGTGGCGAATCCTATTTTTTTTACCGAGCGCACACGAACCTCTCAAAAAAGCGCGAGATAGGCAAAGTATTTATTTTTCTAACTTTAAATAACTAAACGAATTTCGTTGGCTCTTTATTGAAGACCGGTTAGAATGGAAGTTAAATAAACACAATTGGAAAACCCTGGAAAAACTTTGCATTATGGTCAAGTATTGATATTTTAAAATAATCTTGTTCAGAGAGAAGAAATTTTTTAAAAGATAAAAAAATTATACTAATTCTAATATTAATTTATCATTTTCTACACGCACAAAATATGAAAAAAAAGCCATGAAAAAGGCCTAGCTGTATAAGTACAATAGAGAGAGTGAAAGCAAGCGCGACAAAAGACGATCAATGGCTCTCTCTATCTCACTTACGTTTACAGGTACGGCAAAAATGCCTTTTTCATTTTTTTCTTAACATTTAGCGATAGTCGAAACAAAATTATAAGTGCTTTTTAATAGAAAATTGTTCGCACTACACACTAGTATTTTTATTTTTTTTCTATATCAAAGCGTAAAAAGATATATGCAAAACAAACCTCAAAACACAATCTTACATAATTTTAATATCATTAGACCACTCAAAAATAGTCATTCCTTTTTTTTTACATGGGCAGGCTCAATTATATATCATATAAAAAACGCTGTATCAAAGATCATCTTTCTAGTTCAGAAGTTTCTTGGTTGGTAGCCATAAGTAATAAGAACAGAAATCAGATCGGCATGTTGCGTAGCACAATCAATAAGGTCCCTGAGTACCAATTCACACGATTTAGGCTCGATTCTCGGAGTCCATAAAATTTTAAAATTTTTTTTACCCATATAAAATATATAATATATGTGTGTACGTATATATATGCTATATGTACGATACATACAAGATATTAACTTATTATATACTCTTCTATATAGCTATATATACGGGTAGTACACCTTACAAACGAGAGAGGGGTGACAGTAAGCGCGTGGAGAAAGAGACAGAGAACCGAGCTGAGCCGAGCTGAGTTAAACCTAAGATCGTGCCATCGCACGGGTCGCTTCATCACATCGATCGAACCCCCAAGCGTGCCAATACATATTTTACATCAAAATATATAAAAATTGCAATATTTTCTAAAGGTCACAGGCAATTTTTTTATTTTTTAATATAATATTTCTATAGCCATACGAAATGAAACATAAATTTTCGAAAAAAGTTTATGGTATGATAATTTTATAATCAAATCTAATGTTCGTTTTTTACGCATTTTGCCTATACTTGCCATGTTAAGTAGTGCCACATTAAATTCTTATATTTTTGTTCTAACACCGCTAGGCTCTCTAAAATTTTAACAGTCGATTAACAGTAATTGAAGGAATATATATTCAACATTTGAAGACATTTTATCGTCTTTTAATTTCGTCAACTACTACCTCAATCTAGGACTAAATTATCCTATAAGGTGCAACAGCTACTATTTCTGAAAACGATATTTACATGTTAATGCCTTTGGAAAAAGAAGTGAAACTTTTAAATTCTAGCGAAAATTTACAAGACTTCAGTCATCTAACAAAGTACTCCTAAAATTCTAATAAAATGTTTAAAAACCTGCAGATCGTCTAAGAAAAACTTTCAACACTCAAGACTTTTAGTAGAAACTAGCAGCACTCGGTATGCTTCGACCAATGGTAGCAAAAATTGCTACATAGTCCAAGCACATTGACTCATTTAGAGAGATAAAAAAAAAAAATGTTATCCAGATACATACGTTTTCAAATGGTTAAAAGGGTTTAAGTCAACATAAGGAAAATGTGTTATGTGCCCAAGAAGGTTAGGGGATGATTTTAGGGGTTGAAAAGGGGTGAAAATGGATACATCTCGTGTTTTTTTAAATTTCACGCGAAATTTGATGTCCTACTGAAAAATGTAAAATACAAAAGTTTTAGATCTTAGAAATATCCACAACTTTTGTATGGGTCATTTTTAATATAACCTCAAAATTTTAGAAAAAAACGCAAGAAATAAAAAAAAAAGTTTTTTTTTGTTTTTTACTTGTCAATTTCCCAGAAATAAATATTTTTTAACCAAACTTGCTGAAAGTTCTCCTTTTTGTGTCCTAAACAACAAAAACAAATTTTAGATTGAAACATTAAAAACTGTTTGAAAGACTCATTTTTGTCGGTCCGAAACACGTTGTTTTCAAAGTTACATTTTACTACTTACAATCAT